CATATAATTTTTATTAAACGTATACGTATATACAGGGTGTTCCGTTTTTATTGTTACAAATTTTATCAGGTGATAGAATGTTCAATTTTAAGATAAAAGTTTCTTATAAACATCTATCGAAAAATATTATACAGGGTGAATATAAAGTATGGAACCAAGCGGTTTTATTTTTTTAATCATTTGCCTCCAGCAAATAATAATTAATATAAATTAAAGTAATATAAAAAGTGTGATTGTATTTTTAGAACAAAATTTTGTTTTGTTTTTGAGTTATGCGATTTTTTTTGTCAAAATTGCAATTTATGTGTAAAAATTTTTTTGAAAAAAATAAATATAAAGCTGATAGTTGTAATCCTTAGAGTATAGCTTTTATGAGAAAAATTATTTTATAGTGGGTTGCCATTTAAAAAAATATTTTTTTGTAGAATTCAAAAACAAAAGGAAATTTCGAAAAATGTTATTCTTGTTAAATCATCACATTTTTATAGTACTATATCACTAATCAATTAGTTTTTTTAAAAAATAAATAGTTTAAGCAAAAAATGTTTGGTTCCATACTTTTTATTCACCTGGTATAAGAGAGCGGGTGGATCTTTTAATGGTGTTTTTACAATATTTCAGAAACCATTTTAGATAAAATTACAAAATTCGATACAACTGATAACCCTTATACACCCAAACGAATGTCAAAATTTTTACTCATGCCAAATAAATGAGCTTTAACGTATTTTTTAACATTTAGATTACCAACAATTATAGAGAAAACTTGACTGTTTTTCAAGTTTCACATAATTATGAATATCATTCCCGGATTAGATGTTAGGAAACAACATAAATATAAAATTTTTTGATAACCAAAAAATTATAAACGAAAAAAAAAGCCCAATACTTTTATTTTTATTTCACAAATTGTTGTGTTTAAAACATCGAATGTTCTTGACGTTTCTAGTTACAGTTACATAAGTACATACATATGTCGTTTATGGTTATGATCGATTAACCAACTTCTAAGGCAACATTTTGTTTGAACTCCAATAAAAAATGTATAGAGATTATTGGATTTAGTTGACTCGTGGCGACCAGAATACGAATTTTCGTGTGGTGGTTTATTATATTTTCTTACTTTAATTATTTTTTAAATTGAGCAAATTTAGTGTGAAGATGAATATTTAAAAATCGGTCAGTTCGTTATAATCGATAATTAGACATTATGACATGCTGAAATACTTCTGTTCTTTCACTTCGGGGGAATAAAATCTGAACAATGTCATCGCCTCTATAAAAATAGTCGGTTGGAGCTGCGAGGTGCGATTTGTGATCGTATAATGAATGGTTGCGCCTAAATAATTCCCGCTTCATTTAATGGCTATGATTAAGACGATGGTTATCGGAAGCGTCCGTAAAAAACAAAGATCTTAATCGAAGCGGCAATGTGTAATTAAAATCTATAACAAATCTCAGGATTACGTCTGAAATCCTATCATTTATTACGAATTATGGATATAAATAACAACAAGCCTCGTCGGTATAAATCGTGGTTGCTTTTCAGCAACAATTAAGTGGAAATTTATGGCGGCGTTTTCGCCCTCTCTCGGTAACAATACGGTGTCCGAAGACCGATTACATATTAAATAAGAAGGTTTATATCGGCCAACTGTTCACAGTGACCAGTCGTGATCTGTATCACACTATCAGATATGCTAATGCAAACCGAACATTTATAAATACTGAGCTACTTAATTATAATCCCGATTTTTTTCCAATAAGACAAACGTGTTAATAAAGCTCACGGGAGAATCCAAGACCGAACTTTGAACACCACCATCGAGTGCACTCAAGCAAAAGCTGTAATTTTTTTAAGAGGAGCTTTTAGATCGCAATTGATAATGTGGTAAATGTATCGGAATATGAAATATTGCAAATAATAACACACTATTATACACTTAATCCGTTTGTTCGTGTAACTGGTCTTCCGTCGTTTGTTCGAAAGCAAACCATGACGCGCTTCTGACAATAAGAACTCAGTCAAGTCGCTAATTACACGGATAAGTACGTCCAGATTTTACTAAATCATATTATTTATCGACCGCTTCCAGGAAAATTCATTCCGTTTAATCGGGACGTTAAATTGGCCATCTAATCAGTAATAAGCAAGCACGGATAAATACACTAATTGAAAAATATACAGAAGCCAAAGCCGTAGGTATCTTTGTTTAAGAGCAATATTTCCAACAATGAAATATGCAAACAAGCAAAACATATGAATTTCAAATGAATCGGACGCTCTCTTCACTACTTCCATTAACACTTTTACCACCATTCAAAAATTAGACTCAGAAGAAGTAAAACCAGATAGAGTTTCAAAACCAACTCATAAGAAAATTCTGTATGCATTGATTTTTGTGATAAAATGTACCCACCAATGGTAGTTTGAAATTGCATCTCTCAATTTACACATCCGTTTTTAGTTAGCAAATAATGATTATCTGAAAATATGAGAATCACCTACCTAATATTGCATTTACAAAAAGATTTATTTTCACATAACTAGCGTCAAACCAATACAATCCCACAAGTAATACCTAATTAGCCTGACACTTTTTTGAACCAACCAACGTTGGTGAAAATTAGAACATTTGGTTTTAATAAATTAAACACGGTAATTGAATTTTTATTTTTGACAAATTTCTGTAAGTCATATTGATTTTACTCTAGTTTTTAGAGGAGGGAATCTATTTGGATATTGTACACTTGAGTGCAAAAAAAACGCAATTTCTCAAAAACAAAATTGTCAAATTCAGAGATTTACATAGTCATAGTCAGTATTAAAAACGAAAAACTTGATAGAAGTTTGGAAGATGCTTGACAATTATGAAATTGTAACAAAGACAACGTCCAAAAACAGGCCAAATTACATTATAAAAAAATCATTTTGCGTTTTTTTTGCACTCAAGTGTAAATATGTAGCCTGGCAAGCGTTTTTTAAAGATTCTCCATAAATGAAATTCATGTCGGTCTTATCGTCAACATTTTGGTAAATGCATTAAGGTTTAACTATTTATAAATTAAAGTTGAAGAGCTGTCTGGTTACTAAATTTAATTTATTGAAACCAAATATTTTAATATCTTTAAAATGATTGCTTCAAAAAATTTTTAGGCTCATTATTATTATTATTATTCGGTGTACAGATAAAATACAGATAAAGATAAAATACAATTTTCTTCAATACTAACTTGGATTAAACCTTTATGAAAATTATGATCGGTGGATATAAAAAATTGGGACATCCAAAATTTGCTCATTTGCTCAATTTTTTGAATTGTCACTCAAAAAAAAAAATGGCAGCAATCTAAAGATGACTGTTGAAGCTCTTTGAAGCTAAAGAGATTCTAAATCAATTGCGTTTTTTATAAAATCCTTGTAAATGTACACTTTACACTTTATTGATATTTCTGACAATATGCTATCATAACTTTTTGTAAAAAGCCAAATTTACCAGACAGAAAATTTTTTGACGTCATGTTTGTCCCAGTTTTTATGTCCACCGACTGTACGTACAAAACATATTATATTCATATTATATTCATATTACATTATTATATTTTTGACATAATATTTTTATTACTCTTTGTAATAGTTTAAAAATAATACTTTGTAAATTATTGTAATTTAATTCAATAACATTTCTAGTTTTGTCCTCTAAATGTAATACTCAAAAAACGAAAGCACTGTTTTTTTACTTATTTTTATAGTGAGCTGTGGTGTGCGACAGAAACAAACTTAAGTTTTTACTAATTTCAGATTATTGGCCATTCTTTTCTGAATTATGTACCACATTTTCAATAATTTTAATTCTTGAGACATGAGAGATATAAAACTTCAAAAAAAGCATTTCATTTCCGATTTCGTATTAAGTAGGCCGAATGTGCTAAAACGTCAAAATAGGCGCATGGAAGCTTCCAATAATTAACCGTTTTACTTATTGTAATCTTTTGAAGTTCCAAGTTTTTCAGATTTTTTGCGTTTAAAGACGTAATTGTGCTTTTCTGGTGACATAAGCAATAATTTTCAGTTTAACTACCCTTTTATGTAGCCTACTTTTTGAACGAATACATTAGAAAAGCAAGGTCTTTTTGTATCTCTGGGGTATCAGAAGATACAATTTTGAAACAAATTGGTCCTTATTCAGAAAAAAACGGGCAATAATCTGAAATAACTAAAAACTTAATTTTGTGTCTGTTGCACACTACAGCTCAGTATAAAAAAAAGTAAAAAACAGTGCTCTCGTCTTTTAGGTATAACATTCACAATACAAAATTAGAAATGTTATTGTATTAAATTACAATGTTCTGCAAAGTTCGTTCTTTAAGCCGAACAAAAATTCGTCGAAATCCGACAAGGAATAACAAAAATATTGCAATGTAAAAAATCCCAAAATTTTAGTTGCCCGTTTAATTTTGGGGGCCAATGTAATTAAGTATTTGTTTAATTTATTTACAAACTGTTATATACCTTCAAGTCTTTTAAAACACTTATGTTACTGGGAGATGAAAAATAATGTCTGATTAGTTTTCAGAATCTTCGTTTGATGATAAATAGTGCGATTATTTTGGTGGCAGCTTATGTTCATTCCTCATGTTTAACATTAAAATATTTTGAATTATTTCCAATTTGTTAAATGGCCTTAGTCATTCACAAAATCTAAAAAAATTAGCTAAAGACTAGGTGTATAATTAATGACCATTATTATGCTTCTTTTCCCCTTATAAAGTTTCATCATAATACAATTCCAACAAAAACAACATATTTTGCGTTATAAAAAAGCCTTCCATCGATCTTCTACTTAATAAATTAATAAGGCAGGACTTAAGCTTCGATAAATCACCGTTTATCGTCGAAAATTAATTTTCCATTGTCATCTTCTGCCAATTTCCAATTTCCTTCAGTTACAAAAGACACCCGATCAAAAGCTATCCCATATAGGGAAATTAAAACTTACCCAGCAATTTCGTGACGGCCCCTTGTTGGGTGAGCATATGCTGGGCCAAATCGTAATGTCTTAAACCGAATCTGGACAATTCGAGAAACCTTTGTTGCGAGACTAGCGAAGCGAGAGGATGGCCGGGGGCCGTGGCGGCATTTCCGTAGAGTTCCCGCAGGGCTGTTGGGGCCAGAGAGGACGGGACTGTCGAGGCCCCCGACGTGGGACTGGTAATTGTCGGCGATGAGGCTACTGCAAGACAAATATGAACTGTTAAATTCTTGATTAAGAAGTTTGGACAAGCGCTGAATTCTAATTGAAGTGGCGCAAAATATAGTCTTTTAAAAGGGCACAATTACCGAATAAAATTTAAATTTATTAAAGGGGCACCATCTGCAGTGAATCTGGTGAAGTGTGCACCTGTTTTGGTAATTTTTGAACAGGTAGTCGCTTCCTAGGGGTCAACACTTTATTTTTGTAGTGTAAACACCGGATTTACAGTTGTTAATGGACCACCCTAAGTTGGTTTTTGGTCGTGCTTTGTTATAATTCGGAGCACATCATAATTCGAATAAAAATTTTAATTCACGTTTTTTGATGTATTTAAGAAACTCGCTCAATGATTGTTATAATTAATATTTATACTGCGTCGATACAAACGTTCTGCATTGAATTAAGTCTGTAAACCTGTAAATCCTGATAATTGATATCAATTAACGATATTGCAACCAACAAAAACCGCCACAATTAAAATGTCGACGCAATTTAAAAAACTTCATGACAAATTGCTCGACCATATAAGTCGCATCGATTCTCGAAGCATCTAATAATATAATCAGTCGATTGACGAGAATTTTCACATTTTTTCCGTCCTAATTTTTTGATAACTTGTTCGTGTTCAAGATGTTAAATCGTAACACTATACGGAGAAGACTTCGGTGTTGAATTACGGATTTTTTCGCTGCGCTAGCGGTCATGCGACAAAGAATGTAACTAATTATTCAACTAAGGGTGTAGTCTCACTCCTGCACATAAATAATGTGATTAATAGTGCGAGACTTAGCGCCATTTTGGTCGTGGATGGATTTATAAACCGGCGCTTGATTTGTTGCACTCGTTTCAGATTATATTCGCATTTTGTTGATTTAAACTCGCTGCTACCACCTATCTGTACATAAATAAGCAGTCGGATTATTTTATGCTGCTAGGCATCTTATTAGTAATCTGGTCGGTCATTCATTCACAACTGGCTGTTTCGAGACAATAATTATGCCGTTTTACCAAAAATTATACAATTTGGAAATGTCAAACAACGCCAGAGGCATCAGCGTTCCCATTCCGAGACAAGATTTCACCGAACTAAAAACTAAAAAAATGCATTTTAGAACTGTTTTCTAGCAAGAATTAATCATAAAGTTCTCATGAGAATTGCAACAGGAAGTTACAAAAAAATTTATTGAAAAATTCTTAAAATTGTATCAACACTAGAAAAAAATGACAAAGCAGGAAACTAGTGGATTTCTGCCAGTTTATAGGTTCCCTGTCTGTCAATTATATTTTTTTTACATTTTTTTGACATTTTCTCTTATATTTTATTTGCTAAAATTGTAAATTACTATTAGGTATTTCAACTCTCTCTCGCATGTCTTAGAAGTTTCCAGATTTGAATAACTAGCAGCTAAGACTTCCTTCAACAATCTGTTTTAATTGTTAGCTTCTGTACAACTTACAATTAAAAGTTTAACTAACAATAACTTTTAAATAAAGTATGGCTTCACTTTGTTTAACAAAGAAACCACTACAGTTCTTATTCACCATAAATGTCGAGAAGAAATATAGCCTCTAGTCCAATAGAACTATATAAAATATTCTATTAATAAAAAGTGATTGCTGTTTTGCATAAAGATACAAACATTACTGTTTCTCTTCTCAGCACCTGTACGTCTAGTCTAAGACTTTCTATATGGACATCTGCGTATATTTCGGACATTCATAGGCCTATATAAATGATTTACGTGAATTTGTTTATAAAAGTTGCCCCTCAGGGTTAAGGCCGAAACTCATCGATCACGACGGAAACAATTTAAGTCACATTTGAACTATTTAATCCAACACCTGTAGTTGAATAACTAATTAATTAGTTTTTTCATTTAAAATACCTGTGTAAAAATCATTGTTCAATGTTATAATATGAAATTAATAATTTCACCAACAAATAAAATTATAACAGTTTTTTTTAAGAAATCCTTCAAATTAATTGAAATTTTAATTAAGTGCTACACAAAATAATTATGATTAATTACTGTCTTGTTTCAACATTTACAGTTAGAATTAGTTGAGGTAGCATTCTTTGCAAGACGGACCACCAATAGAAATATTTTTATTGGTATAGTACTCGTCACGATATTTGAACTGTTGTAAATCTTAAGTCGGGTACCCGAATTACTTTTAACAATAAAGGCAATTGGGTTGTCGTAAGTAATCCAACAGTCTGGGACACAACATCAGAATGGTCCGGACTCGTCAGTGATTACAACCACTCCAATATCTTATTGTTAAGGGTAATTCGGGTACCCGCCTTAAGATTTACGATAGTTCAAATATCGTGACGAGTACTATATACCTAACCAAACTTTGTGGGTTTCACGAAATATAGCAATAAAGAATGTAAAGGTAAACTGCCTCTAACCACAACTATCATCATAAATCTTAAAGTTAACCGAAAGATATTCGGTTGCGTTGAGTAATATTTTTATTTAAGAAACATATAATTATAACTAGTAGTAACTTCAGGCAGCAATAATTTTATTGAGAAGTTAGTGAATTAAATATTTAAATGCCAGAGCTTTGACCTATATTATATAGACTATATAGTGCTTTTTATTAATTATAAACAACTAAATCTTAATGAAATTAAATTATTTAGTGTAAGAAACAATTAAAAAATACATTATTTATTAATAAGATAAATCAATAATGTAATTATAATAGTAATTTATATAAATTTTTTAATTGTTTTATAATATCAACAATCTGTTGCATATACAGGGTGTGTGATTTCATACAAATATTTTACTGATTTGTCACTCAGTTTATGTATTTTTTGCCTACTATAATAGCTCTTGATGAAACTTTTGTAATCTAAGCAAAAAAAATATAATCTGAAAGTGGACAAATAAAGGATTGTGCCAAAGAATAGGTATATTAAAAAAAATGTCAGTTTTTATATCCGTACAAAATAAGACCAAATCAAAACTGCATTTTTAAGGCTAAAAGGAACCATGATTTTTGTTATAGTAGGACCCTAGTTATAAATATAGAGAAATTCACAGTGAGGGATTTGAAAAAAGTTTATTTATTATTTTTCACTGCGTTTTAAATGCAGTAGGTATAGGTAGAGTTACGGAATTAAAATTTCGGGCAGTATATTTTTCTGTGACTTCAAAAAGTTCACTCTAAACTAACTTTTACTGTCATCATGACTGTCACTTTTAATTAAACTTTTTTGTCAGTGACACTATTTTTTAAGTCAAAATGACATAAACATGAGAAAAGTAAAAAATGAGGTTGTTTTAGAGTTTACATTAGGAATGATAATACTGCCCGAAATTTTAATTCCGCAACTGTACTATGTAAATGTATAATTGCTAAACTAAATCAAATAATTTTTTTTTCATTTTAATTGTTTTCGGTAACTACATCGACAAAAAACCTCTATCTATAGCAATTTAGAGCAGCGGATACCTTTATATTAGACTCCAAATGTTCGACAATTTTACCTCTAATACACGTTTAAAGACCTACATTTGCAGCAATCACTGTACACATATTTTTATTTTTATAAAAAAGGTTAATTTACTAAACATTGTTTGTATTCGAGGATAGTGATGGTTGCAAACAAAAAACTAAAAAAAATCTGTTAATGGAAACCATCTATTAGGTAAATGTACCTATTGAAAGCTGCATAATAAATGTAACAAATAATTTATTATTAATAGAAGTAATGGAATAATTTAAATTTAATACACATAATGATTCAAAAGTGTCAGACCATCTCTTGGATGATGATAAAGGACATCCAACTGAATTAAAAGTTCCCATAACAAAAAATTGTTTGAGCCTTTTTTCACGAGATTTAGCTCTTCAAATGTTAGATTTAGGTTAAGTTTTCAGCCGTTTTTAAATTTAGTCTACAGAAACGGCAACAATAAACAGATAGGTACATCTTGAAAAAATCATCAATTTGTGTCTTATTATTTTTACAAACTAGCAAATTCAATAAAAAAATACAAAAAACAAGAGCTAAGATGCCGATAATATGGAAACTGAGCATTCTGTTTTTTTCTCAAAAAAAACTTGAAAAAAATCTGAATTTATTTCATTGCTTAGCTGAAAATCTTCTATCACTATTTGAGACACTTTTAAATCATCCCTGTATGCAAAGTCAATTTTCTTTAATTATTTAAAAGAATTTATTTTTTCCCATTTCACTCAGTGATTGAACACTTTACTAAATTCAAAAATGTTCATAGAGTAGAACTTTATACCTTAGCATTAAAATAATAAAAATAAGAGAAAATAGTACTTTGATCGAAAAAACATTTTACTAAATTCTAAACTAAACAGTTCAGTTATTCCCTTCTTAACTTTTCTAAACTTGTTGCCTAATCTACTGTAAAACGGGGTTACTTTGACATAGTTTGAAAGGTTTTGTTAATGTAACTTTTTTATTTGTTGCATTATATTTTTGAAAAAATTAGCATCAGAACAATTGATCCGTCTGCTTTAACAAACAAACTTAAAATTTTGCCTCAAGGTCATAGTTTTTCCAAAAAAAAATTTGAAAATTTGATGTTAAAGAAACCCCGACTTTGTGGCTATTTTGACAGTTCCCTTAATTAAAATCCCTTAAAACTAAAAATTTGTAATATTACAGGGCTGTTCCGTTTTTATTGTTACAAATTGAAGCAGGTGCTAGGATATTCAATTTTAAGATAAAAGTTTCCTATAAACATGTACGAAAAATATTAAATAAGAGAGCTACATCCCCTGAAAGGGGTGCATCTTTTAGTGGATTTCTTCCAATATTTCAGCAACCATTGTAGATAAAATTACGAAATTTGGTACAACTGATAACCTTTATACACCCAAATGAATTCAAAAATAAAATGTCGAAATTTTTACTCAGGGGCGTCCTAAACTGGGGGGTTTAGGGTAAAAAGTATCCTAACTATTTTGGCGGTTGATTTTTGCCACTTTCAGCCACTTACAGACCATAAAGAGGATAAAAATTAAATTTGTAACACCGTTTAAGAAACCCGTGATTAAAAATTTCGACAACTGATCTTTAAATTCGTTCAGGTGTTTAAAAGTAATCAGCTGTACCAACTCTTGTAATTTTATCTATTCTGCAATAGTGGAAAAACCCCATCTCTTTCAGGGGGTGTAGCTCTCTTACGTAACATTTTTTGATACATGTTGGTAGGAAACTTTTGTCTTAAAATGAATATTCTATCACCTGTTTAAATTTGTAACAATAAAAACAGAACAGCCTGTATAATGCAAATAAACTTTATTAAACTCATTAAACACATAACATAAAATATAGGTATGTTTTATTTATATTAAAAAAAAGTCATTTTTTGGTATGTTGTGGCTTTTATATGACATAAAAATAAAATAAACATAATTTCGGTAGAAAATGAAACAAAATTAGTAGTCTCGTAAAGTCTTAAAGTAACCCCATTTTACGGTACCATTTTTGTACATTTTTTGTCTTTGTTGCAATTTGCAATGCCTAAGACTGTACAAATAATAATTAATAATAGGTACAAACATAATATTATTGAGATATCTATACCTAATAATAAAAAACAATTGTCATAAAATAAATATGCAGTGACAAACTTAGAAAACCATTTTTTAATATTTTTTTATAGAAATTAAATTCAATTCATTATGCAGATTTCGCAATAACACATAGCTATAATGACAATTAAAGCTTTAATCTAATGTTTTAGTCATAAAGTAAAATGTTTAATTGACTAAAAGCAATTTAAATAAAAAGACTGGCATGTAGTCATAAAATTTATTTCTTCCCAGTGTGATACAATAATAGGTAAAAACATTTTGTTTGGCAACTTTTTGTGAACTGGGCATTGTGATTGGCCGGGGTGTAAAATTTTGAAAAACCTGACCTGTGGGCGAGAGCGGGATGGCCGTAGAAAGGACACTGGGCGCCGTGTTAGGGGCAGGCAACCCGACGGAATCCATCTTCCAGTTGACAATGGCGGATCGGGCAGCGGGAGCGACCGGAACAGGACAACAGCCGGAAAGTCCAGGAACATTGGAAAAGTCGTTTCCGCTTCCCAACGCGTTTCCGTTGGAGATTAGCATTTTGGTGGCGCACTGTTCATGGGTGCCTCTCTGACCACGATCACTCGTTAATGTTATCACCGCGTTTCAAGTTCACTGCGCGCCAGAAACCTTGAAGGCTCCCCTAGGTGAGGAGGTTGAAGCTCATCGACTGCAAGCACAACACTGAATGAGTGCGCGGCTACCTGGCAGGTAAGCGGCGCTACCTCGAGCTCGGTTGGCTACTTGTGCTCACACGATAGGCAGGCTTGAACCCTCCTGTGCTCTGCCCACTGCCTTTGGTTACCTTTCAGCTTACACTCGGATTGCGCCCGGATCGAGAGAGACGACGACTCCGGAGGAACGGCGACAGACGGAGACCGAGATGAGCGATAATGCAGACGAGGATTACCAACCGGACTGTCATATTTATGACCGGATCAAAGCTTTGAAATGAACCTAAGCCGAGACTTGTTAATTGATCGACTTGATTAGCGACAAATATTCCGATCATTGATTTATCATGTTTATGATCTTCGGCGCAGATTTGAGCAACTATGTAAATCCTTGCGTCAGGAGAGATTTTTATCACGGGTTCTTCATTAATTATAGATGCGATAGGGAGACGATATTTATTTGACTCATGACGTGGAAACGAACCTGAATTAAAATTTAAATCGCAAAAATCACGGGGAAAATGTATGACAAGGTGATTTAGGTAATTTCTAAAACTGAGTATCCTTCATGAAAAAGTTTTGTACCTACTTTTAAAAACGCCACAATTTGTTGCATAATTTCTATTATAATTAACAATACATTTATTATTAACATACACCACCTACTTACCTGTAGTAACCAAAAAAAAAAAATACTTGCACCTGCAAATTTACATACTTAAGTATGTATGTATTCTAATTTGATGATGACATCACATTGTCATAACAGTTTTAAATTTTGTATAATTGCAATGTTGGTATTACACATATATTATTATGATAATTAAATGTAGTTATACCTACCTGTAGCTACTCAACTTGCTGAACCTAACCTATGCAAATTATCGCAATTCCGTGAACAGAAGTAATGTAGTAAATATAGGTATACTCTGTAAAAAGTGAACTCTAGTTAAATGATAGTTAAAGTAAAAATATTTACTATTATTGTGTGTTTTGCTGATTTAAAAAAATATCCCTATATAATTTGTTTATTTATGTTAAAAAAATACTTTTATAAATGTAGGTATTCCATATCATAAGTTTTTTAGATAGGTAGGTATACACGATTGAGGAATATTTTGATACAAAATAATATACTTATTATTCGTTTTCTTTCTATTTAATTATATCAGGTATAGGTATGTATGTTATACTTCTTTGTTTACATTTTTTATTTTTACTTATCTACAAGGTGTGTCAGAACTCGCGCCTTAGAGAAAAATTTCAAGAAAGATAACAAAAAATTTAGACTTTTTTTTGACATTTAACATTTTTTATGTCTATTTAATCGCACTGATAATTTCGTATATGTTTTTTATAATTCTTTAGTAAAGATACAAAAATTTTGCCAATAAAAGCCACAAATAGGTAACATTAAACAGAGTTACAATTTAGGATACAGTTTCTTTGTTTCCTCTTCTAATAGCCTGTAGCAAAAAAATTTGGAAAATTATTTTTCAAACAGAAGAAGAGTCAAAAGTGGCAAAAGTGCAAAATTTAAACTCTCATAACTTTGAAATTTTTATAGATAGAATTTTTTGACATTTTTTTCATGTTCCTGGTATACATTACATGGCAGTTTTCTCTGGAGCCGAGTTCTGACTCATCCTGTGTAAGGGTGTTTCAAAATTCGATCACTTCCTTCAAAAAGAGTAATTGGGTAGTCCCCCAGAGAGTACTGAAAAAATTTTAAAAAAATCTGTCTATGTAACGTAAATTGTGGACTGTATATTCTTAGTCAGTAAAAACACGATTTTGTTAACAATAACAACTTTATTTGTCGGTTGCAACAAGGCTTATTTAATACTTTCTTAATACTAACTCGTTCCAATTGTGGGCCCTGGTCGGGCCAAACGACCCCCTGCCTTCTTACACTAAAGGTGGGGGAGAATTCTTAACAGTCTATCTGATAATCTCTTACATGTTCTTTTAAATATTTAGTAAAAGTACAAAAATTTTGCCAATAAAAGCCACAAATAACACTAAACAGAGTTACAATTTAAGATACAGCTTCCTTGTTTCTTTTTCTAATAGCCTGTAGCAAAAAAAACTTGAGAAATTATTTTTCCAACAGAAATAAATAGAGTCATAGTGCAAAATGTAAACTCTCATAACTTCTAAATTTTTATGGATAGAATTTTTTAAACATTTTTTCCATCTTTTTGGCATTTTTCTCTGCAGTGCGAGTTTTGGCGTATAGTTTTTTTAACATTTTTTTAACATCGCCCGATGATACAGTGTCACGGAGGTGCGCGATTTTCCGGACACCTGTATATGTTTTATTTTATATCTAAAAATTATTAGCTAAGAATAATGGTAGACAAAAACAAATAAATATCATTTTTTTTTATAAAATGAAAAATGAAACAAGAATCCTATTCAAATTTTAAAATTGTGTTAAAACTACACACTTTTGGCTGTGAAACATTTCTTATAGTTACATTTAATAACTAATGCATAAGCTAAATTAATTTTGGTCATTAAAACAGACGTCACCAAAAACGGAGCTAGAATCGACTGTTACCTATTTAGCATTAGAATTTTGATCAAAGATTTAGTTTTTTGAAGTACATATCGACTTCTACAATAATTATATTGTACTGTGTTTTAGTTATCCAGTTCTCCTTTATTGTTCCTAACTCTTTTTCACTCTTAACATTGTGCTTTTGTTAAAATTGTACATTGGTCTGCAACTTCTCTTATGCTATAACCCTCCTCTAGTTTCGACAATAATATAACAATTTTAGAAAGTTTTGACACTGACAAAGTTTATGTCATGCTAATGCCTACTTATTAGTCTACGCAAAAAAAAACGGTGTAGGTACCTACGCGATTTTATTTTCCGTCACTTTAGAATAATAAGTTTAGGTACAGAGTGGTTATAAATGATTTTCATCTAGCCAGCTGTGAATTTTCCATGTAAAATAAAAAATGCCACTTTACGAAAAAGGGGTACCTACTTGTTTTAACTCAAAATTAAAAAAATCGCCGTTTACTAAGCGTCCACTTCGAAAATAGACTTCAATTATAAACTTGTTTTCTTCCAAAGTATACATTATTATCAATTATTATTGGAAATTAGTTGAAACAATAAAAGTTTAATTAACAACAATTTATTATTAATTAATAAGTGACACTAATGACAGAACTAGAGCTTTCAAAAAAGTAGAGCGGCACAAATAAAGTTACCTGCAAAAAAAATCCAAAGCTGGCTAGATGAAAATCATTTATAACCACTCTGTATTATTTTAGCATCGCGATTTATCTCAATATAAGAAATTGAGTAAAAGCAATCCTTACCTCATGCAGTAAGTATCCAAAAAAAATTGGTTGTTCTAAGAAAAAAATTTAAAAAAATTGTATAATTTTACCTAAACTTAATTTTTAGGTAAGTATTCAAAATTCTCCTGAAAATTCTGGTTAGAAACAAGATGAAAAACTTCATTTTCCTAAAAGTTCAAATCCTAGGCGGTAATTTCTTGTTGATAATTCTGTAGGTATAATCTGTTTCATTTACCTAAGAACGATGCGTTGGGAGAGATAGGGACTAAAATCTTTCAACCTCATTGTACCACTTGACATGTCAAATTTCCTCTACTTTGTTCTTAAATTGCACAGATTGTACGTATAATAAATAAAAATAAGTTTCTGATTAAAATTACCTGTGATTCTGAAATTAAGTTAGTACCAAATTATTGGTGATATTAGATTGTCAGGTGACGGCCATGCCAACGACCACCTCCCAGAAATGAATGCCAATTGACTATAGGTATAAAAGTGTGATGATCTTGAAATTTGATAATAGTGTATGTTGCCAAGTTAATTTTGAAGTCATAGGAAACTTTGATCAGAAATTTATTTTAAAGCATTTTTAATGCTGATGCGAAGCACAAAAAATTAACAAAATCAAGTAAAACCACTTAATTAATATAGGTAGTTGCTTTTGGTACCTAATAATGTTAAAAGTTTTCTTTTTTAATAACATAAAATGAATATTAGTAATAATCCAAAGCATCAAAGCTTCTATCGATCGTCATCACGTGTTTCATTGAAATAAATAACACCTAGGTATATTTTACCATCGCTCCAACATGCTTCAGGTTCCAGATGTAATTATAGGAATTTTAGTAAACATTGAATAATTATAATACAGAATCTGTATTTTAAACATATGTTGACTGAATGCCAAAGTTTTTTCGACTAAAAAGTCTTTTTGAGTAAAACTACTTGGTAATAACTTTGACATTTCGCCCCCACACTGTAAGACACCGTTCGATAGGTTTCCTACATCTCGTATTACATCTCGACTTGTGTAAAATTTTTCATAAATCAATCTGATCTAACATTGGTCAGCGGCATTTCGAGTGTGTTCATGCCCAGTGGCAACGCCTCTCGCACACCAATGGTTTAGTACAAAGGCGGAGCTAGTGAGAAACCCGAAGCGGTGTACGCCTACTTGACTACGTTCACGGTTTGTTTCATTATGACCAAATTGAGACATAAATAACACTTCAGTGATTTTTTATGTCCTTTCATGAGATAAACGTCAGGATGTTGTTGTTGGGATATGCAGAGGTGTTCGTTAAGAAAATGTTTATTTCACGTTCACACCAATGGCTGATAGTGAGCTCTGTATAGGGGATACAGCTGTTACAGTGTAGTGTAGATAAACGACACTTCTTTTTTGACTTTTTGTCATGTAGAGCTAACACCAAATATTTATATTGATTTTCAATTAAGAAAATAACAAAAAATGAACCGACTTTTTAATCAAGTCAAAATTTACAATTTGGGGTGGTTTTGCGTGCGCCATGTTGATTCAGTAAATATATGCGCATATGATTTTCTAATTCCCTAGTTTGAGCCATCGCACGCATTAAAAAAAATTCCACCCCTCTTTATGAAAAAGAGTGATCTTTCGTTTAAAACTTAAATATTCAATACGCAATTAGTCTGTTCGTGTCCACCGTAATGGCAAATACTTCCCGTGAAGGTTGCCGTAGCAAAAAGTATAAATATGCAAATTAAGCGAAATAAGC